CAAGATTTTACTATGATAACCGTAGTTTGACTTCTAAACAAAAGTTTTCAGCACGAAATTTTACTTATATGAGTATATATAAATATCAAATATAATGTAAATTAAAATCCGTGCTTAATGCTTTTCGATTAGGTGATCGGCATAACCTGGCACAGATTTCAGAAGTGCGTGGTGGTTATGTTAGGTGCGTTTCTAAAAAAAACTTCATTTTTTTTTTTAGAGTGCGTATATTGAAATCTGCGAAAATCTGTATTTTTGCTAAATTTTATAGCATTTTAGTTCAGAAAATTAAAATTCAGCATTTTTAATTATTTTTACAGATCTGAACAAAAAATCCTGTAAAATCTGAAATTTTACTTGCAGCAGTATTTACGCAGATTAAATGTAAAATTCTGCATTTTCGCAGAAGATTGCTGATCTGAATAGAAAATTCTGTACTTCAAAATTTAAAGGGTATTAGCCGACGGTAGTAGTTAGATTTTTATTTGACTGATATCGATATCGTCATAGATAAACGTAACAGTAATCGATTTATTGTTGATTTGATTAGTGAAAAAAGTAATTGGTTAAAGGGTGGAGCAATCGGTTAGACGATTTGGTCAGATTTAATCAGTTTTTGTGACCAAAAAAAAGGTCCAATAAAAAAAATTAGCCCAGATTTTAAATACTATAAACCGAATAATTCGAATTTAATTTGGTTCAAAGAAAATACTGTATAGCCAAAACTTTAATTTGATTTATTTATTAATAAACTGTGAATTACTATTTGTTAGTCATGAGTACAGGCTATAAGAAGTTCATAATTTATTACTATTTATTGTAAAAAGCTTTCTGGACGGCATCAATAACTTGTTCATGTATTTTAGAACTCGTAACCACGAATCCTTTATTAACTTTTCCCAAAGTTCTTCCCAAAGAAAAATCCAAAGGTTCGTTATCTATGTTCGTAACAATACCACCTGCTTCTGCAACAAGAAGAGATCCAGGCGCATGATCCTAATTAAAAGAAAAAAAAAATTAATATTACACATAAAATGATAAAAGAATATATACAATTCATAATTATATGTACCCAGATTTTCTCCTCGTAATTAACGTCATAAGGCAATCTTAGATAAATATTAACATCACCTCTGGCAACAGCGCAATATCTACTCATACTATCCATTTGAAGTGCAGGCTTTATAATTCCAAGTAATGATGCAATTTTATCATTATAACCTAATTTAGCATGATCAGCTCCTAAAGATACACAATATGTGACTTCTGGTGAAAGTGGAACGTCTGCCACATGGATTGGTGCTTCTCCAGTTGAAGAGAAATTACGCTATTACAGTATTTATGATCAGAGTGATGAAATTAAAATATACTTCAGAAACATAAAATTGTAAAACAGAAAAAACTTTTACCTGAAAAGCGCCTTGTCCTTTAACAGCAATAAATACACATCCCCTTTCGCCTTTAGGATTATTAAAATCTACAGGATAATTTGGACATCCTATAACACTAAGATGAACAACACCATCAATAATTAAAGACAGCCCCACTGCGTATTGACCTTCCTCTCCACGAAGAAACCCATTGGTTTCATCAATCGGATCAAGAGACCACATTCCTAATACAAATTAATTTAATATAGTAAAAATGATGAAAAAAAATGACGAAATCGATTGAAATACTAACTTCCATTTGGGCCACCAGAGTAAGTTCCTCTATCAATAGCGTCTAATAGATATTATTAATCAAATTAAAATATAAATAATAATTAAATTAGATTAGAATATTAAAGATAATATCATATCAAACCTCTTTCTCATTTAAGGGAGTATCTAGCGCAGAGTTTGCTAATGATAAAACTTTATCTCTCATTTCTTTTCCGTCATCTCCTTTCAACCTTTTTGAATCCTCTTCTCCAACAACAGGATCATTTGGAAAAAACTTATATAATATAGAGTTTACCACTGCTTGTGCACCAAAATCAGCAACTTTTTAAGTATGAAATAAAAAATAACATTAATAAGAATATATATTTTAATTAAATAAACTCAAAAGATTTTATCTAATTACTTGTTACAGGTGTTTTATCCTTTTTAATAAGAGTATCACTCGTTACAAGGTGATTAAAAACACTCTGACAAACTTTACTAGCACGCAAGACTGCGTCAATTGCAACAACTCGTTCATCGCGCAAACCTGCGTCAATTGCAACAGCTCGTTCAAGATCATTAAATGACATGATGTAATTAAAGTGTTAAGAAACAAAATTCATGAAAAAAGAAAGAATCAATTTTATAATCCTTTGGGAATTGTTGTATGTTTACTAAAATTCTTTATCAAACATTCATGCAAACTTTGTCACATAATCATTGTTTATTCTTAATTAGTCCATATTGTGCATAGCTTTCTCATTGATAAATCTTGCTTATTTTGTAATTACAGTAGTAATTCTCAATGAGAGATCTGATCATAATTTTCTTTGTTTATTGAAAATCCTAACGCTAATTATACTATGCAAATCGATATTTAACGGGTTTGGGTCAAAAGTTAGCCAGGATCTACTTAATGTTGGCCAATTTTTTAGGAATCTCGATCCTTTTTTCGAGATTTTTGTCGCGTAGCTTTCCTTTATTACGGCGTAATCGTCGATCTTACTATGTAACTTCACTCACTTGGCAGATATGCGAAGACTAGAGTATCGTACCAGAT